GTTGCATAAATCATGGACTGTTAGCCAGAGATCATTTTCAGTTGATGTCCTTCTTTGCATTCTAGTCAGTCCCTGGTTTCCAAACACTCATTCACGAGTGTGTCTTATCTGTGAAAAGTGTTTTGTTACTCTGGGGCAAACTAATATTTAAAAAGAATTTTTTTATACAGGTAAATTATCACATTTAAGTAGCTATCAGATTATATCTTTTTGATATTTTTAAAATATTAAAATGATCTATCTTTTACAAATGATCACAGCATTAGATAGTAGTCTGATTTGCTTTAAACACCCTTGTAATGTTAAAAATTGGCATTTCTAAATTGGTTTCAAAATTATTTTTGAAATTTTTCTGGTCTATATAATCCCAAACCCTATGAGCCACTGGAATGTACTTTCAAGTAGTTTTTCAATTAATGGAATATTTTCTGACTTTTTGCGTTTCTGAGAATGCCTGTCTGTCTTGCCGAAAGAAAAACTGCTGCTTATAGTGATCTTACCTTATAAGTTTCCCATCCTCAAAACCCTGGGGAGTCATTTGGCACTTAACTGCTGCAGAAGAAATGCCTGAGATCAACCCAAAGTTTTATTCTCTTATAAATAAATTTTTACTGAATAGTTTTTTCCCCACTTAGTGTACTTTCCCTTTTCTCAAAGCATTGGACATATCTGCTCTAAGCAGATGCCACTGAGATAGAATATGTAGTGGCAGATGGCCAAGAAACCAGATTCTAACATCTCCAAAGTTCAAATGTAGTTTCTACACCTCAATAGCCACTGAATCCTTGGACAGGTATGGGTTGAATCATGTCTTGCCAAATGATAAGCTGAAGTTCTAACATTCAGTTATCTATAAATGCGATCTTAGTTGGAAACAGGGTCTTTGCAGATGTAATCAAATTAAGGTAAATTTGTTAAACAGTTTAACCCAACAGGGATGGTGTCCTTATAAGAGGTTACATTTGGACAGACACACATAAAGAGGGAGAATTCCAAATGAAGATAGACAAAGAGGGAGAATTCCAGATGAAGATAGAGGGAAGATGGCCATATACAGGAGGCAGAGATTGGAGTTTTGTTACCTCATGCCAAGGAATGGCTGGGGACTTCCAGAAGACAGGAGAGGAAAGGAAGGGTCCTCCTGTGAGGCTGTTAAGGGAGTATTGCCCCACTGACATTTCTAGCCTGAATTATTTTGAGACAAAATACAAATGGTGTTTTGTCACCCACTTTGCAATACTTTGTTATAGCAGCCCTAAAATACCAATAAACATTTTTCAAACACTTAGGCTTCAGTTACTTTATCTATAAAATATAGATAATAGTATATTTCAAGTTGTAAGATTATTGAGAATAAATATGATTACACAGAATAAGATTAGTAAATTTGGTATATTCTACCTAATAAAAAGAATGAGTTGTAGGCCAGGGATTTAGCTCAGTGGTTCTGCTGCTTGCCTCACAAGTGCAAGGTCCCGAGTTCAATCCCCGGTACAAAAAAAAAAAAAAAAAAAAAAAGAATGAGTTGCTTTTCTTTTTTTTTTTTTTATGAGTTGCTTTTCTTATTATCATACTCACCGCTACTTTCCTCAGGTAGTCCTCTCCTGGAAATACTTCTAAAGCTTGTATGATGTTAAAAGAATAAAGTCTTGAGCTAAGACAGATGATGCATACCTGTAATCCCAGCACTTGGAGGGCTGAGGTAGGAGGATCACTGTGAGTTCTAGGCCAGTCAAGCCTACATAGTGAGTTTGAGGCCAGCCTGAACTACACAGTGAGACCCTGTCTCAAAAAAAAAAAAAAAGTCTTCCTCATCCTCCTCTTTTTCTGTGCTGCAGATCAAACCCAGGGCATCAAGCACACTATGTGAGAGCTCTACCACTGAGCTACATCAGCAGACTCCCAAGTCATCTTTCTTAAATGTGGATTGCTAGACCTGCCCTTAAAGATATTTGATTCTATGGAATGGGTTTTGTTGGACTATCATCAAGTACTGAAAGTGCAATGTAATTTAAGTTGCAGATTTAGTATTAGTATTCTATGCCTGTAAATATGGAAACTGGGGTCATAGGAAAATTGAAGGTAAGTCAAAAAATATAAAATCAAGAAACATTTTGAGGGTGATGAAATGGGAAATGCTAGATGAGTATGAAAAAATTTCCAATAATACATAAATATGAAAGATAGTATGGTAGGATTAAGAATACATGCTCTGGAATCAACCTTTTAAAAGTCTAGCTGTGGCACTATCTATTTGAATTTGGGAATGTTATTGAACTTTTTAAGGTTCAAAGCTCATCTAAAAATGGAAATAGTATGTATCAGTGTTCTTGTGAAAAGTAAATGAGCTATCATGATAAAGGCATTATTATTAGCACAGTAAATGCTAAATAATTTTTTTGCAATCATGAATTGAGAATTATTTTTTTAAAAGAGAAATCATTATCATCTGCTGCTGCTGACTGTGAAATGTACAAATGCAGGGAAAAAGAAGACACATAGATAAGAACAGGTACAGTGGTACTTGGGTTCACTAACTTAAGTCTTTCCATGATTCTAGTCACAAACCAGATTAGACAAGAACCAAATCAAATTTCCCAATACAGTCAACATTGAACCCAACCATTGAATTTGATTCAGTTCTCATCCAATTCAGTTTGCAACCAGAATCATGGAAAGAATTAAGTTTGCAAACCGAGGTACCACTGAACCCGACTCAGAAGTAGTGATGTTTGTGGCTTTCCAGCAGCTTAATAATTATTGTTCTGACCATAACTCACTGGAATTTTATTAATTTGCCTTTAGCAAGTATCCTTGTATTTTGAAACTCTATTTTTTATAATACTGAGAAGTCACTAACCAGAATATATTAAGAATCACTTTAAGAGTTCCTTATGACTGACAAAAAAATGTGTCTCAGAGTGGGTTACAATTTTTTTAATCAGTAGTGCCTAATAGGATTTGATCCTGTTATACTTGGAACATTTCACCAGATTATTTACTAGGCTCCAAGATTCTGAGAAAGAGAGAACACAGAAAGGAATGAATGCTTTCCTGATGTGGCAAGCTGGATATTGTAACATCATCAAAAGAGTTGGCCACATAGAAATTAGCAAGAAACAAGATAAGAAACAAATATACACAAAATTGTGTCATTTTTGTATTGCTTAAAAGTATAAATCCACAATAATAATTAGGTATCCTATTCAAACTTATTTTTTTTTGGAAACATATCCTTTTTGGATAGCTGATATGATTCCAGTTGCTTCTCTATGTCATTTGTCTTTAGCAAACTTTGATACCAGGTTGCTCAGCTCTATAACTCATTCACTTAAATTTATCACCCAATATTCAATGAGCAGTGCACCAAACAGTAGCTTAATCGTCACAATATGCTGTAGCAGGAAATCCACAGAAAGATATTTCTGACCTGGCTTAGTGGCTCTGCTTTCCTCAGTGTGTGTGTGTATGCGTGCATGTGTGTGTGTGTGTGTGTGTGTGTGTGTGTGTGTGTGTGCTCATGCTTATCATCTCTTAGTTGTAAGATGGCTGGTTCCAGGAATTACATTCTCAGGCCTGCTTCCCGAAAATAAAAGAACAAAGGCAGAGAAAGCCATTTGCCTTCACATATCCAGTTCTTCTAAGGTTAAAAACTATTGCCAAAAACTTCACCAGCAGGCCTCTCCTTTTCTCTGTCAAGATAGAACTGGGTAACATATAGCTATCCCTACTGTAAGACACTCTGGGTTAGTGTGTATCAGGCAAATGAGAATGAGATTATGTTGCTTGGCTTAAAGCAATCATGATTCATCTTCTGAAACTGGGTACTTTGCCTCTATTAAAGGAATTAGGGTCTGTTTATTAAAAGGGTAGAAAGCCATGGCAGTCAAGAGAATTTGCTAGTGCAGTTTTTACTGCTTTTTCTTTTTCTGCATGCTGAACTGCACTTCTCACTTTTGGTACCCCAAAACTCATGCTCAAAACCAAGCACTGGACAATAAAGATGTAAAAGTGCAGTTGGCAGATTATAGCTGAGGTGTAATGTTTGATATAATCCTATCTTGATGTTATCAGTCATTTCAAAAAAAACGATTAAGAGATCTGTTGAAAGCACATATTCAAGCTCATAGGAAGCTGACTGTAAACTCTACTCTGTAAACTTGGGGAAGAACAACTATTCCAAGCACTTACATCTGCTATCTGACTTGGCTCCAAATCAACCCTTCCATACTGTGCCTAAACCTGCAAGTGTACAAACAATACTGTTTGGCTCTGGCTGTTTGGCTCTGCTAATGAGAGCTGTTGCAATGCACGACTGGGGCAGGGAGAAAGAACTAGCTCCTCCTCCCTACTTCCTGTCTGCTTGCACTTTCTGTGACTATCACTCCTAGCAGCAGCAGGGCCCTGCTTACAGCTTTCCCAACACATAAAGAGCACCAGCATGATTAGCATGATTAATATCCTTATATCCTTAATTCTCCTCTTTGGGGAAGAGAAGTACCCTTATCCTAGAGAACATTAATATAGTCTGGTGAATAAATTATGAGCAAGAAGCATGATGAATAACAAGGATACGGAAGTTGGATGGTTTTTAGGCGTATAGTATTTCTGTGAAGTAAAATAATCCCATCCTCCACACCAAAGATTTTGTGTCCCACAAATTGGGACCAACTACCTAAACTCCTGAAGCCCTCATTCCTGTAAAAACAATACAAAGCAAATATGAAGCGTTTTTCCATTTGTTTTTGGTTTTTTAAATTATTTATTTATTTTGAGCCAGTGTCTGGCTAGTTTTCCTGGAGGGACTTGAATCTGTAAAATACTCCTAGCTCAGTGCTGGGATTACAGGTGTGCACCACCCCACTTGGCTCAAAACCATTTTCTAAAGCTATGAGCAAGGCCCTTAAAATTAATTCATTTAATTTTAGTACTAATCTATATTCATATTAATGTTTAGATTAAGTAGTACTGCAAGTGACAGAAGACCTAGTAGAGCAACACTGTGTTAAGTTAGACATTTAATTTCTCCTTTATTTCACCAACCCAGGGTGATGGGGTAGTTCCACAAGTGGCTAGTGTCCAGCCTTCACCAAGCTTGTTGCACTGCTGGGCCTCCCTGTGGTCCAAGATGTTGTTCAAGTTCTAGCCACCTCATCCGCATTCCAGCCAGCGTGGAAGGATGTGCTCTTTCCTATTAAGGACCCTGAAAGTTAAACACATCACTTCTTATTGTATCCTACTGTCTAGAACTAGTCACAAAGTCAAACCAAGCCATAAGGGAGATTAAAAAATGTCTTCTAATCTACACAAAGGAAGAACAGCTATTGGTTGACTATGAGCAGTCTGTTCAATAGAATTATTACTTTTAGTCTCCTGAAGTAGTTCTTCCTGAATTTATCCTTAGGTTTTTGTTTGTTTTATAATTTAATAATAGGCTTAAGGAGAGATAAATCACATTCTATACAATTTGCTTATTTCAAGTGTATAATTCAGTGTTTTTAGTTATATTTAGAGTTGTGCAACCATCACAATCAAATTAGGAATGTTATCTTCCCTTCACTAAAACTCCACACCCATCAGCAATTACTTTTTTTCCCCTCTACTCCCTTTTTCAGCCCTAGGCAATCACTAAGGTACTTTGTCTTCATGGATTTGACTATTCTGGACATTTCACATAAGTGGGAGCTATCCAGTATGGTCTTTTGTGGCTGGCTTCTTTCACTTCATATGTTTTCATGGTTCACCCATGTTGTAGCATACTTAGTATTTTATTTGCATTTTATGGCTAAATAACAGGCCACTGTATGGATATACCACATTTTATGTATATATTAATCAGTTGATGGACATTTGGGTTGTGCCTACTTTTTGGGTATTAGGAATAATGCTGCTATAAAGTATTTCATTACTATTTGTATATGGATATATATTTTCATTGTTCACATAACCCTGGGGGTAGAATTGCTGGGTTACACAGTTGATCTTGTTTAACTTATTGAAAAACAGCTAACTTGTTTTTCAAAGTGGTTGCATCATTTTATATCCCCATCAACAATACATGAGGGTTCCAATCACTTCACATCCTCACCAACAATTATTATTCGACCATTTGATTTAAGTATCAGAATGGATATGAAAGTGTCTCTAGGCTCTTAAATTTTATAGCATGTTTTTTTAAACAGATGTATATGATGAGATGAAAAAAAAGGCTGAGTTGAATGTCTGGGGTCAAAGTTGTATAGTTAGGAGTAAATCACTTACTCTATCTAGACCTCAGTTTCTATATTTATGAAAAAACTGAGCTATGTGGATGTCTAAGGCCTATCTCTAAAGCCCAACTAATTGACAGACTAAAGGACAGACTTGTTTATGGCATTTTCTAATGAAACCTGTCCAGGAAAGGTAGGTTTAATTACGTGAGATAGCTGCAGACCTGAAAGTCTAATTCACCTAAGAATAAGCAAAAATTTTCAATATGAACATATTTTAGTTCTCAAAATTGTGTGCATTTTGTTTTAGCAAGGCTAGCATTTCAGGGTATTTGACAAAAGAGTTATATTCAAAATATCTGGAAAACAATGGGTTGAACAGGTTGTGGTAGGTTCTTAGTTACTTATCTAAAATCCATTGTCTTCTTTGCTTTAATTAATTTGATTCAGGACTGCCACTGGACAAGTCCACAAATGACTTAGTGTGACAGACCCAAGCTAATCACTGCAACCCTATGCTCTGCTTTCCCAGCCTTTCTTGTAGGTTGGAAAACATTTTACTTTTCCTTCCACTGAATAGCAGCAAGTTCAAACCTCTGAAGCCTTCCCCAATCCAACTATACAGAAATGTTACATCATCTGGGTTTCAGCAGCACTTTCTGCATTACACCTATCACACTGACACCCATAAATAACCTCTCCTTCCCCTACAGGTATAGTGTAGCTCCTACAGAATCAAGAGGATTTTACTTTTCTCAGGGTCCCCTAACCTAGCAATGCTGAGGTGAACCAAAATGGCTATCACCTCATATTGAACACTGAAACTGCCCTCTCTTCTTTTACAAAAGAGGACACTTTCCTTCTGTATACTAACCCCAACACGAGAAACCCATGAAGAGGAGGGCTGCTGCCAGATCTTCCCTAGCATGCACGATATTAACCATAATAACTTAGTGCCTATATATGGTAGGCGCCTCGCCACACATTTAAGACATTATTTATTCTCTGAACCACCTTATAAAGTGTACTATGCTATTATTGCCTACGTTGCACTGAGGGTCAGAAGACTTACGTAATTTCCTCAAACAAAGTCACGCCAGAGCCCCAACCTAACCACCACAAGCAATTTCTTCATCGGTAGCATTCTGTTGAACTGGTACCCCCACCCTGACCTCCTCTAGGCTCCCCTTTGACAGCGAACATCGCAAAGTTGTAAGTGGAACTCATCAGACGGGAAGGTGGAGGCCTCGCCACGAGAACCGCTTTCTCTCGGCGCTCGGGCCACCGCGAAGGCTCCCAATTGTAACATTAAATTGTCCGCGAGAAGATCGGCCAAGTCTTGCCTATCGCCCGGACTCCGGATCGCTCTGCATTACACCAGAGGATGCCTGCCAACTTCTGGGATCGGGAAGCGCAGCACCACTTTTTCACCAGAAGGTCGTACACACAACTGTGCACGTCTCGTCCCCGGAAAGTACCTCAGGCTCTCGACCCTTCCAATCAGTGAACCCGACTCAGATCAAATCCAGCCACACCTCTCTTCCCACAGCCCGCCAGCCGGAAGTGGCGAGCGGAAGTCCCTCCTCCCACAGGGGGCGGACAATCAACATGGCGGCGCCCAGCAGCCAGTGAGGAGTAGGGGCACTGGGATCCCGGGGAGAGGCTGGACTCATGCGTTATGGCCGCATTCCCTCATACTTTCTCCTTACGCCTCCTGACAGGTACTGTAATCCGCCTAGAGCACAGCCTTGGGAAAATTCTCCCTTTTTTTGCTATTGGCGAAGCCGTGGTTCCTGCTAGCTGCAACCTTGAGAGCCCTTGGCGAGATCCTCTGGGCAACGGTGGGGGAGGTGACTTTTGGAGTACCTTAAAGTGAAGAGACTATGGAGGTGTGGACCAGTCTTGCCCTGTGGCCTTCCTTTCCCGGGAAGTGCAGGGTTTGGGCTGAGGGCAGAGAACCTCGGGTCTCCACAAGCCTCTTGGTTTATCAGAGCCACAGTTCCTAGCCACTGGCTTTTAATAACAAGGGAAGGTCTTTGCTGTCACTCAGAAGCCTTACTCCACTTTGAGGGATCATAATGATAATGATGACAACTGCAGACAGCAGGCCACAACCCCCCTTAGACTTTTATCTTTCTTCCCTAAGCATAGTTCCTCACAGTCCTCCCACTTGAAGGATCTGTGACAAATGTATGTTGAAGCTTGAATAGTCATCCCTGGCTCTTAGGAAGGTCTCATCTCAAATGTCACCCTTTCAGAGAATCCACCCTCACCACCCAGTCTAAAGTAAGACCCTGCCTTTCTCCTATCACATCATCTTATTTCTTTCATTACGCTTAACAGTGTGTAACTACACACACACACACACACACACACACACACGCACACAGAGTCCGCCAAAAAATGTATATACACTTCAGGAAAAGAAAATCAGTATTTTAATACTAAATTTATTGAGACATCAAGAGATTAATACAAGTTACCTTTGGCCTCTACAATTACAAGAGATGCTCATAGTGGTGGCCCGTAGCTTCCAGGCATTTATTAGGACAGTGAACTGCTGCTTGGTTAACTTTGGTCATTGAGATTGCTGTACACGCATTTTCAATTTCTACTCTAAGGACTGGCAGTGTACTGGATTTTGTGCGATATATGGCATCATCTTGGATCTCCCATATGAGGGTAACATCATCTGTTGAAAAAACATCATACTATTTTTCTTTTCCTGAAATGTGTATACCTGTGTTTGGCTCTCTCTCTTTCTCTCTCATATATATATATATATATATATATATATGTATGTATGTATTCTGTTCTTCTCAACTAGAATATAAACTTTGCAAAGCTAGAAAGCTATGGATAATGGTTGACTCTGGTTTACTCAGTGCTTGTAATAGTATCTTGCACACATTGTTGGCTCTCAGTAAACATTTGTAAATGAATGAAATTTGGCTTGATAAAGAGGAGGATGAGAATTATTTTGCCCCTGTATTTTAGAATGGTTACTAATTGAGAAGTGGGGAATATGTTACTACTGATCTATATTAGAGATCAGATAGTAGAAGACAGGGGCTGCCTTTTGGTCACACTCCAGAAACTTTTCAGATTAGCCTACCACACACACAAGTATACTGCATTGTCTAGCAATCTTGATCACTGTGGCTCAATATGCCTTTTGTCCTTATTTTTCTTAGTATTATTTTATGAGTCTCTTCTGGTCTGTGTGATCTCAGGGCAAATCAATTGACTTTTCTAGAATTCAATTTATTTGTTTATAAAATGAGGTAATTAAACTCGATGATCTCAAAGGTCCCTTAGGGTTCATAAAGTGGGGCAGAGAATAGAACAGTATAATAGATCAAACAAGGTTGACCAAGGTTTGTTGATTGTTGAAGCTGGAGGATAAGAAATGGGGTTGAGGGGGATCATTATACTCTTCTGCCTTTACATATGACTGCCGTTTTCCATAATGAAGAGTATTTTTGAAAAGTAGTATAATGCTTTTTTGAACCATATTTTTGTTGCCTTCTACCATCCCTCATTGTGAATGTTCTTTGATCCTGACCCTGGGCACTATCAGAGGGTTTATCATTTCTGAGTGCTTGAATTGTCCCCTCTGTATAGAGGCTTCTCCAATGTGAATGCCTCAGACTAGCTGTTTTTCTGCCTTTCCCTTTTATATTTTCAGCTTCCTATAATACATAAAATTCTACCTAACTCCACAGAATCCCTCAGTTCCAGTAGAAGGGCTACATGTAGTCCATATGCTTTGTTGCTGGATCTGTCTTTGATTTAGTGGTATAGAAGGAATAGACAGCTTGTTTCTGAAAATGAACATAACACCAAAAAGTCTGCTAGTAAGTTGTCTTACTGTAGTACTTACTATACTATAATACATAGCATTTACTTACTATAGTACTTATTTTGATGGGGAGAAGTGGCAGAGAAGATAAACTATGACTGTGGTAGATATCTAGTAATGTGTTAGTTATGTCTGATTTTGCTTATTCAAGTTCAGAATATTTTATAGCCACTAAATAAGTTTCATCAGCTCTGGTCTCCTTACCTCATTTTAGAAGCCCTACAAACATGATCCAGTGTTGATGGCAAATACTAGTTACAGTGACATTTCCAATTTTTTTTTCCTTGTTGATAGCACTGGGATTGAGTTTAGTGCCTTCACACTAGCTATGTCCTCAGTTCTCTCTCTCTCTCTCTCTCTCTCTCTCTCTCTCTCTCTCTCTTTCATATTTGAGACAGGGTCTTGCTAAGTGAGTAAGTTATCCAGGCTGGGCTTGATGTCTCAGAGTCCTAGGATTACAGGCGTGCATAGCCACAGCTGGTTTATTTCAAAATTTTTAATGTTATTGATTGAAAGCCTTGTGTACTGTATTTCAAAACTTAATACTCACTTACCTCAGGCTGAAATAACTTTCATTTTCTAGGCACTGATTCATATTATATTATGTATTTTGACTAAAGGAAATGTTTTCATGATTTATAAGTGTAGATTCCTAGCTGTTCTTTCTTATTACTACTATTCTGTAAAATTTCAGTTTAGCCCACTTAATCTTGAAAGATATTTTTAAAGGTAATTCCAAGGCAAACACATATTCATGTATATGGAAAATATGATTTCAGTGAAATGACTTTTTCCAGTGTAAGATAATTCCCATGTATTTTAAGGGGCAATGATAGTTCTCTTTCCCATAGCCCAGGAAGGCGATGTGAACCATCCAGTCATGAAAAATTATTTCATTATTACGTGGAAAATACTATGCTAGCAAGGTTAGTAGAGTCTTTGCCACTGTGTTAAAAAAACATGATATTGGAAACAGTTTGCAATAAGAAATATCATAAAGCATGGTATAAAGTGAATAGTTGAAGGATACTTTGAAAATTGACAGGCAGAAAGTTGATTGTAAGCAAAAAAGCAACATAAAGTTAAGCAAATTGTAAAGTGTGTAATGTGTTTAGTGGAAAGTCACGAGGCAAGACTGTTTTGCTGAATTGTGTGTATAGCTTTGAGTGAGTAATATGTATGGATTCTGGGCTTCAGGAAGAAAACTGTTAGCTTTGTGGAATGTGGGTTAGAGTGGGAAAGACATCACTGAAGGAAAAAAAAAAGAAAGAAAGAAATCACTGAAGGCAGGATGACTGGCTTGACTCCTACCACTGTTACCAAGGTCCAAATATAAGATCATAGGGTTCTGTATCAGTAGGAAGGAATAGATCGGGTTAACCTGTATTTTAGAATTCACTGTACTGTACTTGATTATTGTTAGGTGATAAAGGAAGAGATACCATGATCCTAAAGTCTTAAATAAGTGATAGTTTTTTTTCTCTGCAGTAGAAAATAAACGTAAGGGTGAGATGAAGTATTCTTAAAGATGTATTGCTGTCCATTCACATGGAAATAACGAGAGCAGTTGGATATAGGGCTAATGTCTCTCCAGAAATGGATTGAAGATTAACAGTTACCCATTTGCTCAGGGACAGTATTGCTCAGAACAGTGGAAACGAAATTGCCTTAAAGTGACAGACAGAAAGAGGAGATACTGTTGACAACTGAGACGCAGAAAGCAGAGAACCAAAAGAACCTTTTATATCATGGAAACCATGGGAGGAGAGACTTTTAAACAGGGTAGAACTGTACTGTTATACAGACTGTCAAAGACTTGACTAGGATGAGGTCTGAAATAGAAGTATTGATTTTTTGTTGATTTGAGAGAAGATGTAGAAAAATGATAAAAGCCAAATTTGGATACAACAAAAAGTTTTTTCCTAACTAGATTGATAAAAGTCATTTCCGTGAGAACTATTTCTTTTTAGTTGTCTTAACCTGTATAACCAAAATACTACCTGAGGTATATATATTTTATCTTATTATCATTTGTTGAGAAAATTGTGCTTTTCATTTTCTAGTTTTTAAAAAGTAAATAAACTGATTGCTTTGTGTTTGTTTCCTGAAAACATTTACAGTGCAATCATTTCAGCATTTAATATAATAAAAGTGTAATGGTCCAGAAATGAAAAATTTCTTGAGCCTTCCTAAGGAATTATACTGATTTAAACAATGAATAGGGCTGATAAGTTACATTTATTCACAAATCTGGATTAGATCATTTCAGAGTCTGATCTGTCATACAGCACAGCACTTGTCTGGCTTTGGTTCTGGATAGGTATAGTCATCATTGGTGAGAAGCATTAATCATTTTAACATTTCTTCCTCTTTTGTCTCTGTTATAGGTTGGAGAGGAGGATGTGTCTGGTATCTAGAAAGAAGAGCTGTACTGGAATCCCCTCATAAGTTTATGCACCTTTTCAGAAATGTCAATAAGCAGTGGATCACATTTCAGCACTTTAACTTTCTCAAACGCATGGTGTGTTTCAAAGACCATACTTACACTGTTACTTTCTGCCTGTATTTTTCTCTGTATGAGGGAATTTCATAAATTCCTATAAGAAAGTTTTAGAAATACCTTTGAAAAAGACTTTTATTTAGTGCCCTAGTTTATCCAAAACTTTAGTCTCTTGTTTTGATTATTCTTAACCAAAACCAGAATAATTCTGGTGTTTGAGGTTATGATCTTGAACTTATTGATTAAGTTTGGAGAAAGATTGAAAACTTCTGGCATCTTTCAACTAGGATAAAATTAGGAAAAGCTGAACTTTATGGTACGTCTTTTAAAATCTTTGAAGTTCTGTGGATACATCAGAAATACAGAAATAATTGTTTTAACAGTGTGTCTCTCCTATTTTCTTAAATCATTTGTGCATTTAAAACTCTAAAAAATGCACTGTGGAGTCGACATATATTTGAATTTTTAAAATTTTCTAGGCATTTTATAATGGGCATTGGTAATATATCTCAATTATCCACTTTTATCTATGATGACTGCATATATTGTGAGTAATATCATGGCTTACTCTCAATTATTAGAGTATTTGCCATTTTCTTATATAGAAATGGGCATAGAATTGAAAAGTCATACTGCCCCGTGAAAGAATGGTGAATTCATATTCTAATACCCTATTTCACATTTCTGCCATTTGTTTCTTAACTTAAAATACTTAATTAAAATGTAAATTTAACTTAAAATCTTACTAAAACTTGATATGTTGACAAGAGATTTGAGTTTCTAGAAATGTTCCTACTTTTTAAGTTGGGGAACCAAGAATAATGAATATTTAGAAAAAGTATGCTTTTTTATGTAAACATACCTGAATTCATTTGTCAACTTGTAGTTTATGTCTAAGACTAGAATTTTTTTTTTTTTTTCTAAGACTAGAATTTTAATTTCAAGTCGTGGTGATGTAAAAAAAAGTCACTTAACTAGTTAGCAGCATAGACGGCTCTTCCTCCTAGGGCAACTTATAACTGATGAACTCCTAGATTTGTCAATTTCTGAGGCTTGATTTCCTCAGCTATAAATTTAAAAAAGAGAGGTAATTCATCTTCTTTAACAACTTTTGAGAAATTGAGATATAAAGTGTCTCGCAAATGTTAGTAGTTGTTACTAATTTCTAGTAGTAAGTGCTAGGGACTATCTGACTAAAACTTGTGTTCTTTCCTCATACCATACTGCTGTGATGTCATTAAGCCCTGGGTTATCCCTTACCCCTGAGCCTCTCTTAGCACTGTCCCTAAGAACATGGAAAATCTACAGGCTGACTTTGTCTCTTGATTTCATAAAAATTTTTCCTTGTATTTGGAATGTTAAGCTTCCAGGATGATGAATAAAATAAAAAATAGATGTATTTTCCTTTCAAGGCACTTAGAGTTTTGAGATTTTCTAAACCACGGATTTGAAAACCATTGCTGAGGTATTCGTTCTTTTCTCTGTATCTCACCCAATAGGGTGATTTCCGTGTCATGGATACTCTATGAGTATAACCTGAATTAGCTAACAGTAAAGTTGTAGTAGACATTTTCAAGTACTGTAAAAGACTGAGTGATTCAAGATGTTTCTAAGTAACCTTTTAAGAGCATTATAGGCTGGAATTTTACAGTAACATCTTTCATTTTGTTGTCGTTTTTTAGTATGTCACACAAGTGAATAGGATCCTGAACCAGCAAGTAAAACCAAAGCCAGAACCAGTGGCATCTCCTTTCCTTGAAAAAATATCTTCAGATGAAGCCAAAACAGAAATAGATGAAATGAGATCTCTTTCACCCCCGAGCCCCTCTTTGTCCAGAAAGCCAGATGAAAAGGAATTGACAGAACCAGAATCTGCCTCCATAATTGAAAGCTCAATAGATATGGGCAAAGAGACAAAAGAGGAAAAGCAGTGGAAAGAGATGAAGCTGGATCTAGATGACTTGCCAGGCATTTTGGCTCGACTGTCCAAACTCAAACTGACAGGTACTTTGTTTTTTTGAAATAGTTACTTACTTGCAACTTTGTTTTTATTTAAGTAAAAGGAAATTGTATTTATTGCCTCCAAAAGAATAATTTGAAATTGCAGATCCTCTCAGTATTTTTTGTCTTGTCTATTTAAAATTCAAAATCAAATTTTCTGAATTCTTTTTACCCAGACTTGTATATGTACTAAAATTAATGATTAAAGTAGAATATTTAGCCTACTTAATTCTTTCTTTGTCTTTAGTATTTTTACGCCTACTATATTTTAAAAATGTAGAACAAGAAGAATTGAACTGATGGTGTGAACCCACAGAGGCCATTGGGGCTCCAGGCCACTTCTGTGTATTGCTTCTTATAGGACCTGTGGGATTGTACCATATATGCAGGAATATAGAATGCTTTACTGAGTGGAGGTTTGGAACCAGAGGATTTTTTTCTAATCCTAGTACAATATACCAAGTTTTATTGTATACACTTGCTTACTAATACATGTTTATGTCATTTGGATGTGACAGCCAACCTGTGCTTCAGGTAAAGCTTTACTATTTCATCTCATAGATTAATTTAGGATTACTTTATTCTGTGCTGACCTGGTGTATGTTCTAGATTATCTGCATACTGAAGAAGATGAGAATAAAGAGACACACTATAATTGGTGAATGATAGGGCTAAATGAAGTACCTTTTGAAGACAGAAAGTTGACAGAAGACAGAAGCCAGTGTTGTATAGTCAAATAAAGAAAACAGAGAGTCTTTTGAGAATAGAGAAAGATCTGACAAAGAATTATTTTGTTTGTTTGCCTTTTAGAGAGTTGAGCCTGAAAATCTGGAGTAAAGGGGCTAAGTTAGACAACTTTTGTAAGTGACCAGCTTCACTTAAAGAAAATCCTTAGTTAGAGCCAGAGATTTAGTTCAGTAGTTCCACTGCCTGTCTCGCAAGCTCAAGGTTCTGAGTTCGATCCCTGGTACCAAACAAAAGAAAACAAAACAAAAAATCCTTTGTTGGAGGATGCTAAGTAGATGTAGGGGGGTTTATGAAGGAGCTGAATAATCTTAGTGAGACTCCACAGTGTTACTCTAAAATAATGAGGCTGATTTTACATGGTGTCCTGTCTAGTGCTTGGTGCTAGCTAAGCAAGAAATCATCACGTTTCTAAAGAGGTTAATCTTGTGTCATTTATACAAGTGGTCGGAGTGTCATATTGTTGACATGTTAAGAATTACTGTACATAATTTATGGTCATAACGATATCACCCAAGAAATGAGGCCTCTCAAACTGTAGGCATTAGAAGTGGCTCCTGTCAGCAGTAGGATCTTTGTGTGCAGCATCATTTAACATGTCTGGTCTGCAAATTAGTTCTCCTTTCTTATTGTCCCATTTCTGTCAGCAGTACCGGCATTCTTCAACCCCCTCAGATGAGAAACAGTAGGATCAGTCTTAACTCTTTGTTCTCCATTCTCCCCTTCATCTCTAGTCAAATGTGTAAATGTTATCAAGAGACTCTTTAGTAATGCCCAAAATGTTTGCTTTCTCATCCCCATTTGTGAAGCTGCCATCTAACTTCTGGTCCGAAACAAAGGCCAAAGGTTTTGTAGCAGCTTCTGACTGTCATCTGTTCCTTCACTTCCCCCACTACAGTTCATGCTGTGCAGAGCTGCCAGACTAACTTCCTCAAAATACTCCTTTCAGTTTTACTAACCTGCACTGGAGTCTACCATTTCTTACTATTGCCTCCTGCCTCAACTTGCCTGGTTTTACAGGAACATTGCAATCTAGAGATCACACTCTTCCCCACAAACACACTTTTTCCCTTTCCTCCAACCTGTGACTGAGTCTGTTCCTTCCACCTCACCGTATTATTCCTCTGGCTTCCAAGGGAGATGTTGATCTGCTTATTTTATCAGTCAGGTCCTCTCAGGGCCTGTCTAGTAAGCCAACTCTTGGTCCAGACTTAAGTTCACATCCTGTCTATAACATTTACTAGCCAGCAATATATCTGGCAGTTCTTTAATCTTATTAAGAGAATTTTTATATCTATAGAGTAGGAATAATAACCCATTTAAAAATTAAATCACACAGTGTTAAAAGCACCCAACAGTATGCCTGTTACACAGGAGGAACTGAGAGGTTAGTTTCCAAACAATTACAGGTAAACACTTGGGCCAGGGATTTAGCTCAGTGGTTCCACTGCCTGCCTCACAAGCGCAAGGACCTGAGTTCTATCCCCAGTACCAAAAAGAAAAAAAAGAGAGAAATTAGAGAAACAATTCTTTTCACAATAGCACCCCCAAAAATGAAATATCTAGGAATTAATCTAATGAAGACCTCTACGTTGAAAACTACAGCACTCTGAAAGAAGAGATTGAAGAGGATATAAGAAAATGGAAAGACATCCCGTTCATGGGTAGGAAGAACCAATATAGTGAAAATGGCCATACTTCCAAAACTGTTACGCAGATTCAATGCAATCCCGATTGAAATCCCAACAGTATATTTCACACAACTAGAGAAAACAATTGAAAAATTCATTTGGAACCAGAAGAGACCTAGAATAGCAAAAGCCATTCTAGGCAACAGAGACATGGCAGGGAGTATATCACAGTCCCCAACCTGAAACTATTCTGCAAAGCCACTGTGATAAAAACAGCATGGTACTGGCAAAGAAACAGACCCAAGGATCAGTGGAATAGATTAGAAGATGCAGAAGCAAATGGAGATATACTCAGCCACCTCATCTTTGACAAAGGAGCCAACCATCCTCATTGGAGGAAAGATAACCTATTTAATAAATGGTATTGGAAACACTGGATTTCAATCTGCGAAAGATTAAAAATAGACCCCCTATCTTTCACCATGCACTAAACTAAAATCAAAGTGGTTTAAAGATGTAAATATTAAAACAGAAACACTAAATTTGCTGGAAGATAAGTTAGGTAGAGCTCTTGAAGACATCAGCATAGGAGAGGACTTTATGAACAAAACCTCAGTAGCATGGGAATTAGCACAAAGAATCAACAACTGGGATCTCATCTTATTAAAAAGCTTTTGCACTGCAAGAGAAACCACCAACAGGGCTAAGAGACAATTTATAAGGTGGGAAAAAATTTTTATCAGCTGTTCCTCAGACAAAGAACTACTATTTAGCATATACAAAGATCTTAAAAAAGTCAGCCCCCCCCCCAAATTTAAAAACCCAATTCAAAAATGGGCATCTGAAATGAAGACATTTCTCAGACAAAGAAGTAAAAGCAGCAAATAAACATGAAAAAATGTTCAACATCACTGGTCATTTGAGAGATGCAGATGAAAACAACACTGAGATTCTGCCTCACCCCAGAAAGAATGGCTGCTACCAAGAAATCAACCAAAAACAAATGGTGGGGTTTTGGGGAGACAGGAACCCTTCTCCATTTGTTGGAGGGAGCGCAGACTGGTACAACCACTGTGGAAATCAGTATGGAGATACCTCTAAAAATTAAGATTAGAGGTCCCATTTGACCCAGGTATTCCTCTGCTGGGTATCTTCCCCAAATAATTAAAAGAATCATACCACAGGTAATGTGTTGTTTCCCTTGGGATTCCTTCTGCCTGTGCAGGAAGTTGAAGTGAAATAAGTATTTATTAGGCAGGGAAGACAAGGAATTCTAAGCAGAAGAAACCTTTGTAAAGATGAAGAAGCCTTATACATCCTAGCACGTTCAAAACACTGAAGTTTGACTTTGAGTAACACAGCGTAACTTGAGAATCATATAGGAGAGGTTCTTTTTTTTTTTTGGTACCAGGGAATTAACTTGGGACCTTGCTCTTGTGAGGCAGGCGCTGGAATCACCGAGCTAAATCCCCAGCCCCTTAGGAGAGGTTCTGGAGTGGCATTGGTCAACTGGGATTGAGAGGTGGGGCAGAGCTCATGTCATCACACGGGTTTGTATAGCATGTTGAAGAAGAGTCCAGCTGCTATACCACAGTGCTTAAAAGTCCTGGAAGGTTCTTGGAAGGCATATGACCACTTTGTGTTTTGTCTCACTTATCATTTAGTTGTATTAATTATAGTTAATAAAAGCTTATTGTAAAAAAAATACTCAGATAGTACAGAAGGGTACATCTTAAACTGGAGAAGTACTCTTTCCATCAGACTTGTCCTTGAAATGTAACCTTCTCTCTATATACTTTTATGCAGATGTAGATATGGTTGTTTTCTTTAACAAATAGAACTACACTATATTGTATACATATAGTACAGGACTATACTATATACTATGTAGTAGTATTACATATATAGTACTAAATACTATATACAGTATATGTATAGAAAATATAACGTGTGTGTGTTATGGAACTGGCTATTTTTTTTTTTTTTGGTATCGGGGATCGATCGGCTATTTTCTTATAAAAGTACAGCTTTCACTAACAATATTTGCCTCACTGCATACTGTTCCATTATATAGATCTGCCATTATTTAACTATTCCTCTACAGGTAAATATTGAGGGTGTTTCCAGTTTTATGTTAACAAAACCAGTAATTTTATGTGCATAAATCTTTATATGCTTACTTGAGTTTATCTGTAGTATAAATATTTAAGAATGTTATGGATAACTTTAAACATTATGATTTTAATAAGTCAATTCCTGAAAAAGATAGCGTAGGAACCAGCCTACGAGTTTATCCCCAACCAGGGAACCAACAAGGACTAAAGACAAAAAACACAGAGATAATTTGGAAGAGGAGAGCCAGAGGACTCTTGTCTCTACTGGATCACAGTGCTCCTACTTTTATTAGACGTGCACAAATCAGAAGCAAGCATGTGATCCAGGGTTCAGGGAAAGTTTATCAGGTTCTCCTAATTTGTAGACTGCACCCAAATGTGTATTTTCTTTTAATCAGACCTCAGCTGTCGTTGGTTCTCTCCTTGAAACTGGCTGGCACCTGCATGCTAGCAAACAGACCGGGGGGAGGGACAGCTACACCCATGTCTAAAGGAGAGTTCAACCCAAGCTTCG